TGTGTCAGTGTGTGTGTGTGTGTCTGTATAACGCATAACTCATGAACCGATACACAGAAAAACACCAAATTTTAAACTTAAGCTTTGTTTCAGCGTCCAATGAGCTGATTAGATTTTGGGCAGTGTCGGAACATCTGGGGGGGTACTTTATAGGTGGTCATTTTTATATTTTATGGAATATATCTGTTATTTATGGTTGGAGAAGAAAATTCTTCAAATAAAAGTTACTTCTAATATAATTATCTATAATTTTTGTATTATGCAAAATTTTCCTAAAATGGTCCGTATTCGAGAAATTTGACAAAATGTAAAAAAAAATAATTTTTTATAAAAATTGTTCAAATAAAAGTTGTTTGTAATATAATTCTCTATAATTTTTATTCTATACATAATTTCTCTAAAATGGACCGTATTCGAGATATTTGAGAAAATGTGTAAATTTCGAATTTTGAAGAAAACTCAAAAACGGATAAAGAAAAAAACATTAAATTTTAAACTTAAGGTTTATTTCGGCCTGACGTGAAATGATTAGATTTTGGACAAAGTCGGAACATCTGGGGGGGGGGGGTACTTTATGAAAGGCCGTTTTTATATTTTATGGAATATATCTGTTATTTATGTTTGAAGAAGAAAATTGTTCAAATAAAAGTTACTTCTAATATTATTATCTATAATTTTTGTTTTATGTCAAAATTTCCTGAAATGGTCCGTATTCGAGAAATTTGACAAAATGTGCAAAATTCTGATTTTTAAGAAAATTGTTAAACTAAAAGTTGTTTGCGATATTGATCTCTGTAATTTTTGTTTTTTCATGATTTTTCGAAAATGAACCGTAATGGAAAAATTGGAGAAAAGTACTAAATTTAAATTTTTCAGTACTTTCGTTTTCAATGAATATCTGTAAAAAAATGTTTCGAGTTAAATGTATGTGGAAAATGTATATATTTAGTTTATTCCCTAAATATTTATAGAGGAGGTATAATAGGTTGTACAAAATAACCGCCTATAAAGCCTATAATAACTAGATAGGAGAGTCATGTGTTGGACACATCAGATTTTTTTATGTATGTTTAGCGATAATGCTTTACCAACTTGTCCGATTTCAATGATTCTTTTTTTGTTAGTAAGGGGGTACCTCAGGGGTGGTCCCATATAAATTTGGACAAAATTTAATAATTGGGTCCATGAGAAAATCCTCAGTCTTCATTTTTTATGTATGTTTAGCGATAATGCTTTACCAACTTGTCCGATTTATATGATTCTTTTTTTGTTAGTAAGGTGGTACCTCAGGGGTGGTCCCATATAAATTTGGTTAAGATATGGTGATGGCATCTGCACGTTTTTGAAGTCGGTTTTTTTTTAATTTTTTAATTTCTAATACTTGTCTATAATTCTTGTTCTATACATGATTTCCCTAAAATGGACCGTATTCGAGACATTTGAGGAAAAGTGCAATTTCGAATTTTGAAGATAACTCAAAAACAGAAAAAGAGAAAAACATCAAATTTTAAACTTGAAGTTTAATCCTTGCTGCGGTGAGCTGATTAAATGTTGGGCATAGTCGAAGCATCTGGGGATACTTTATAGGGTGTCGTTTTTTACTTTAAGGAATATCTGGTATTTTACAACTGATGAAAAAAATTCTTGAAATAAAAGTTGCAATATTATTTTCTATAATTTATGTACTATACACGATTTCCTCAATATCGGTTAACTTATCAGAACTCGAAAAGTTGAAAGAATCGTTAGATTGTTCAGATTCCTCCATGACTATCTTAATCTTATTTTGTTTAACGGGCACCTGTTTTTCATCTTCTAAAACCAAATTTTTTTAATCTTTCCACCCTTTCTTCCTTTTTTTTTATTTTGCTCTTCCTTTTTCTTTGCTCTTTCCTCAAATTCTTTTTGTATTTAGTTTTTTTGGGGGGTATCCGTTAAAATCCGTATTTTCCTACATTTCCTTCCAGCTTTCTTTTTACGTGGAAGATCTTTCGGAAATGGCCTTATGACTTCAGGGCTTACAAATGCATTTGGAATATTTTGGGAAGTACTAGGGACAGCTAAAAGTAAATTTTCTGTAACTTGTAAAGCTTCAGATGGATCTGACTGGTCTGTAATTTCCGAACTGGTAAAATCACTATCTGTAAATAAAGCTGGATTATATGAACAAATACCAGTATGTGAAAATCCACCTATTATATTGGCCGGCGTACGTAAGCACTTCCCACAAGTTCAGGTATTTCTTTTAAGGATATCAGCTGTGCAGGATTGTTGACCATCCAGTTATCTGCCGCTTCATTACAAAACCTTTTAAGAGGCCCAAAAACGTTGGTGTCCAAGAGCTGTAACTTATGGCTATTTTGAGGTGGAATGGTGAGTAGTATTATTCCATTTTCTTTATAAATGTTAAGCCCGTTTGGGGACATATGGCTATCATGGTTGTCTAGTATCAGCAGACACTTGTGATTCTCATTGACTCGGGAATACTTGATGAAGTGCAGTAAATATTTTTCAAAATTCCCGTGGGTCATCCAACCTAATAGATTAACAGCAGCATTGGCACCAATGGGAAGTCCTCTTGTCATATAATCCTGTATACTAACCCTCGGAAAAATTAAAAATGGGGGGATAGTGTTACCAGACGCACTTATAGTGCATAAAACTGTTACCCAGTGATTCTGTTTCACACGATGTTGCCTTTGACACCTGCTTCTGCCCTTTCTTTGCAATTATTTTTTGCGGCTTATGTGCTGTTGTAACTCCTGTTTCATCTGCATTATACAGAGTGGCCCAAAAGTGTGGAAACGGCCCATTATCTCGTAAATTGCTAGTCTTAATTGTACAAAATTTGGGGTATACCTTCAAGACTACATAAAATCATAAGTATTACATATGGTTGAACTCGTATTGAATAGGAGATTCCAATAATGACTGAATATACAGGGAGATGAATTTGAAAAACGAAAGTGAATAATAATATAAGAGAAACTGCAAATCTGGCAACATTGCAAATATCAAATCTGGAATCTTCGTATCCCAAAATAGGTGTACCCCAAATTTTGTACAATTAGTACTAGCAATTTACGAGATAATTGGTCGTTTCCAGACTTTTAGGCCACTCCGTATATGCAATCAGGTGTAATATATTCCCTTGTCATGATGGTCTTTAAATTGTCAAACAATAGCTGCAAGGTATATTTATTAAATGCAGTGGCATGTCCTAAATTCGTAGCTTCTGGTGTCCTAAGTGATAAGTTATCATGTCTTGACATAAAACTTCTCAACCAATCACGCATTGCTGCTTTATTTTTCTCTCAAGCTGCTAAAATATTTTTGTTGTTTTTTACGTATCTAGATAGTGTTGTTCTATCAATATTATATTTTTTGGCGACTGCGCGGATTTTACCATTAGTACTACATATTTCCCGTACTGCTGTTTCCAAAATTTCAGGAAATTTCCATTTAAAAGCCATCTGCAAAAAAATTATTGTAGATGCTGCCGTGAAAGTTTTAGCAGAAGAAGCTAAAGATTAATCTACGTTAGTCTATATTTTTCACTTGGAAAAAAAAAATACTGGAAACCAAGTTCAGGTATTTTCTAACCATGATCCATGTCTCAAACCTCCCAAATAAAATCTGTTCATCCCTCCCCTCGTACTAGTAGCCACAACACATTACGATTTTCAGGTTAAAACATAATCTAACAAATAATTTAATACATGAAAGTATGTTGAATTAGTATGTTATTCGTGTAATTCATCCATATATTTCCAAATATAATAATATGAATAAATAATCCTTATATATTTTGTTAAAAAACTTACAACTTTTCACTATAACTTTCATAACCGACTTCGATTTGTTGTTGAACTTAGATAATGGGAAAGAAGCAATGAATAAGCATCCACTAAACGGAAAAGTAAATTTATTTAAGGATAAGTTACCAATTCAATATTTATGGCTCAAACCTCCATCAGTCTCTCCTAATATTTAATATGATTTATTTCCAATATTAACTTGCTTTTGTTTGTCTTTCTTATTTTCCTTTCTTTTTCTCTTTTCTTTTCCTATTCATTCTTCACTTTCCTCTTCGTGTAAATTATTTCTGTGATGGACATATTGTATTTACTATATTTTGTATTTAAAAATGTCTCAACCATTTTTGGAGCTTCATTTCTTTTTTATGGCCTTTATCTTTTCGATTTTGATTTCTATCGGACCATTTTTAAAAACTATTTCTTTTTACTATCAAAGGTTATTCCTTCAGTATTTGTAATATTTAAAATGTTAATCTCTTCAGAAAAACTCACACTCACTAATGTCTTCATTAGGTATATTTAATTTACATTTTTCAAACTTTCAAATGTATTGGTATAAAATGACGGAAAATTTTTTTTTTTGAGAAATATTAAAAAAAAAAGTACATTCTTCTATTCGACATAATTTAAAAAATAAATGGCACAAAACTAGAACTATTAAGAGGGAAAGCCCACTCACGCGACATGTCGCGCGCGACAATACTTTTGATGTTTTTAAATGACTACGCGACAGAACCGCGTTAATGGGCTTTGAGTCATTTAAAAACATCAAAAGTATTGCCGCGCGCGACATGTTGCGTTAGTGGGCTTTCCCTCTTAAGAGTAACAATTACCAGTTAACATTAACCAGTTACAAAGGAATATTTGCGGAACGAGCAGAGCAACGTCACGCAAAATGAACTTTTTGACAATTTCTGTGATTAAAAAGTGTCACTTTATTATATCAAAATTTAAAAAAGAATATATTTTAATTATAATTATATAAAATTTTAAAAAGTTTACCATTATTTTTTTTAAAAACAATAAGAAAGAGCATACGATATTTAGAATTTAAAATATAATATAACGAAAAAACTCGAATGTTTATGTTAAAATAATCAATTCATAATAGATAAAACATAAAAACAAATTTCAAACATTCCAAATTCAAACTACACAAGCCTATAAAGCGTACAAACCCACCTTTTGTTATAGCTATCATACATATTATCTAAACTGTGAAATTATAACAATACCCAAGTTCAACTTCAACCGTTTCGTCTGTAAATGACGTCACGAATGCGCGGCACTCATGCCCACGGTACGCCTATATTCTCGACCAATGGGACCGCGAGTTTTAAATTGACTTAAACTGTACTATAAAACGGATTGCATTCATCGGCGAACTTGAGTTACTACTCGCGAGGGCTTGGCACTTTTGCTTTGAAATACTTGGCTATCGAAGGGAAATTCAATTGTGCGTGTGCGGTGTATTTGTATTAATCAGTTTAATCGGGTATCATAATTATAAACTATGGGTAAAGGTGGCGACACTTTTATATCGGATTCGAGTGCTCAACTTGAGACCGGCATCAAAAGAAAAATTCAACCAGCAGCTGTAAGTATATATTTCGAAATAAATATGTATTTTCCAAATTCGGTTTATTTTTTATTATAATCTGATGATAGTACCTAATACCTAGAAATTTATTTTCTATAGATGTATAGATTACATTAAAGTGACAAATATTACATCAGCCTTTCTAAATTCTTATATTTTACATAAAATTGATACTATATTTTTATTTGCACAAAATTTAAGTATAAACCAATAAATACCTATATTGGCAATAAAGTTAGGGAAAAAATAACAAAAGTATCTGCTTGTTTCGCTTATACGACATATAAAACGTAATATCAGTAATAATAATCACTAATATATTTAAAATGAAAAATATATCAAAAATTTCGCTTATACAACATATAAAACATAATAATAACAAGAATATTATAAATTATTAAGATATCTAAAGTTAATATATTTAAAATTAATATATCTACAATTTCGGTTATACGACATATAAAACATAATAATATAACAGTAATAATCACTAATATATCTATAATTTAACTTATAAGACATATAAAACATTAATAATAATCATCAATGATATATCTAAAATTAATACTATATCTAAAATTTCTTTTATAATACGACATATAAAACATAATAATAACAAGAATAATATAAATTATCTAAAGTTAATATATTTAAAATTAATATATCTATAATTTCGGTTATACGACATAAAAAACATAATAATATAACAATAATAATCACTAATATATCTATAATTTCGCTTATAGGACATATAAAATAGTAACAATAACCACTAATATATCTAAAATTAATAATATATCTAAAATTTATTTTATAATACGACATATAAAACATAATAATAACAACAGTAATTATAATCACTAATTTATTCTAAAATTAATAATATCTATGTCTAAAATTTCGCTTACACGACATATAAAACATAATAATAATAATCGCTACTTAATATATCTAAAATTAATATATCTAATATGCAAAAAAACAAAACAGTAAAATATCAATTTACCTGGTATTTTTGTTTATACATTCATTTTCATTTTAGTGTATTATTATTTTTTTATATACAGAGTGTTAATACATATTCGACCGACAACGCTCTACCCCTGAGAGATCTCGTTAATTGATGTATTTTGATATAGGAATATGAATTCTTAAAAGGTGTTTAAAATCTAAATTAAAAATTTGGCATAAATCATAAGCGCCATTAATTTTTTTTTTCAAAGTTGATCTATCTACGAAGATCTTGTCAAATAAACGAACTGATTGATTAGATTAGAATTTAAAAATATTGAAATTATCCAAATTATCTAAGTAAATGCAGACTTTTGTTTGGAAGCACTTCACAATATTAGTGTAATACTTATATATATAGTTTATAAAGTTTTTATAGGAAACAAATGCAAGGTTTTTTTAATAATTTGTTTTGAATGTGTAGGGTGTAACAGAAACATGAAAGAGGTTGCATTCAATTAAACTATTAATAACTTTTGCGACACTATAGGAATATGATCGTTTGAAAATTTGTTTACGATGTAAAGGTATGGTAAGCTTATTTTTGCATCTTATATTAATATTGTGGACATCGGTTCGAAATTTAATTTTTTTATGTAAATAAGTTTTGAATTTTAGAATTTTAAAAAGAAAACAACCTAAATGTAGAGTGCGGCGGTTGTGCATATTTAGCCATTTTAAGTTGATATAAAACCATCTGACCACGTCTGATACCATATATGAGTCGAGCACAGGAATTTTGAATCTTGGATTCGATTTATATCACTAGCATCTATTCAAGTAACGTAAACCGTATCACAGTACGATTGAATCACACAAAGTTCGTTAAACGTTGACATCTAATAAATGTCTCTGTGGGTAAATAGTCTTTAACCCAGAATAACCTAGTCTTAATTTGGCAGTTATATGTTCCTTGAACCTTAATTTATTGTCCACAATCAGACCTAAACTTTTGCCAGAGTCACTAATTAGTATATTTTCACTTCCAAGTCTTAAATTTAATAAATTTTTTACTTCATTTTTCAAAGAATCTTTGCAAAATATTACTGCACATGATTTGCTGGGATTTACTCTTAATAAATGATCTGATGATATTTCCGCCGCAAGTTTAGCAAGATCAGCATTAATAGCCCGAGATGATTCCATTACTTTGTCATGACTAAAGGAGTAATAAATTTGTTTGAATCACTTTTATATGACATTTTTGGGAGTCATAATTGTTGATCAGTAAGTCAAGAAGAGAGCTTCTGGTTGGTGAAAAGCAAGTAGGTTCGCAAATTATCTGAATGCAATTAACATTATCGAAAAGAGAGGTAAATCGTTTATATTCTGGTCACTCAATATCGAGTAGATCAAAATTAAAATCTCCCATGCAAATTACGTATTTATATTTTGCATACATATCACATAAAATGTCTTCAAAAATAGTAAAAGATGTATTTCTGTCAGTATTTGGCGGTTTTTAAAAAGTTCTTACTACTAAATTGAATTTATTAAATTTAATTTCTATTAAAATATATTCGAGAAATTCAAAACATTCACTAAGTATAACTTTGTAATGAAAACTATTTATAATGCAAATACCTACCCCTCCACCTCTTTTAGTGTGCCGGTCCTGTCTAATGAAAGAAAGCCATTTAGATTTACTATGTTACTACATATGTTATGCTTTAACTATGTCTCTGTTACTCTTACAATATCAAAACTTTCATTTTGAATTAAGTGACAAAAATCATTAAAGTGTGGCACTAAAAATTTACAATTAATATGTGCGACATTTAACTATTTATTTAGTAACAGGGCCTGACCTTGTTCCTTTGTATATTTTTAAATTTAATTTTGGTTCTGGTTTGCTTTCTTTTAGTTTTTCTGTTTTTTTTTTTGTATGTCGACTTCTTTTTGAATATTTTAGTTGCTACTTCCGTTCTTGTTGTTCTCTGCAATTTGTTCAGTTGCAATAGATTGTAATGATGCAGATCTACCATCAATTAAAGAAGTTGGTGGGTCACTAGAGCCTTGTGACAATATCTTCAATTGTGTAAAATTTATTGTTTCTATAAAGTTTTTCGCCCTTTATATAACACCTATCACTACTTTAATTTCTTACTTCCTTAAGATGTTTTCTTAATATTTTATTTCTTTCCTGTTGCAGCTTAGTTAAATCAGGGGTAATTATAATATTGGTGCATTTAAGTTTTTTACATTTACTCAAGATTTCAACTTTGGTGAAGCGGGATAAAAGTTCTAACTTTATTGGTTCTTTTCCTGTATTGCCTCCCAGTAAACATAGATCACTAATAACACTGCTGTTGAGATTAGTTTCTAGTATTATATTGTATTAAGCTTATTGCATATATTTTGTTAAATAAATTTATGTTAAATGTACATTTTTGGTGCTTCCAAAATTTCTTCTGGAATTTTATTTTCTATGTCGGATAATTTAAAATTTGAATACAGATTTTTAAATTTGCGAAAACAAGTTTGATATAAATAACAAATTAAAAATCAACGAACTATCACTTAGCAATAAATCGCAACGTTGTTACCATGGTAACGAAATCAAGACAGACTGTATTATCAAACAGCGGTCGGAAAAATTAAAAAGAGGGACCAGTAAAGCTTTTACCGGTCCCTAATGTCTATTTTCCGGTCCACAAAACTTTATTTTCTGGACGAAAAATTGTTCAGAAAGTGTATACTTTCTGGTTGGTCTTAAAAAAAAGGTTATTATTTTGTTGACTAACAATAAAACAATAAAAAAAATCTGATGTGTCCAACACATGACTTTCCTATCTAGTTATTATAGGCTTTTCCGGTTATTTTGTACAACCTATTGCAGTATCTCTATAAATGTTTAGAGGATAAACTAAATATATACGTTGTCCACATACATCTACTTCAAAACATTTTTTTATAGATATTCATTGAAAACGAAAATACTGAAAAATTTAAATTTAGCACTTTTCCATTACGGTCCATTTTAGAAATATCATGTATAAACAAAAATTATAGAGATCGATATCGCAAACAACTTTTAGTTCAACAATTTTCATAAAAATCAGAATTTTGCACATTTTGTCAAATTTCTCGGATACGGATCATTTCAGGAAATTTTGACATAAAACAAAAATTATAGATAATAATATTAGAAGTAACTTTTATTTGAACAATTTTCTTCTCCAAACATAAATAACAGATATATTCCATAAAATATAAAAACGTACAAAAGTACCCCCCTAGATGTTCCGACTTTGTCAAAAATCTAATCATTTCACGTCAGGTCGAAATAAAATTTAAGTTTAAAATTTAATGTTTTTTTCTTTATCCGTTTTTGAGTTTTCTTCAAAATTCGAAATTTTCACATTTTCTCAAATATCTCGAATACGGTCCATTTTAGAGAAATTATGTATAGAATAAAAATTATAGAGAATTATATTACAAACAACTTTTATTTGAACAATTTTTATAAAAAAATATTTTTTTTAAATTTTGTCAAAAATCTCGAATACGGACCATTTTAGGAAAAATTTGTATAGAACAAAAATTATAGATAATTATATTAGAAGTAACTTTTATTTAAAGAATTTTCTTCTTCAAACGTAAATAACAGATATATTCTATAAAATATAAAAATGACTACCTATAAAGTACCCCCCCAGATGTTCCGACTCTGCCCAAAATCTAATCAGTTCATTAGACGCTGGAATAAAGCTTAAGTTTAAAATTTGGTGTTTTTCTGTGTATCGGTTCATGAGTTATGCGACCTACAGACACACACACACATCATCGCGAAAATAGTCAAAACGGATTCAGGGGACCTCAAAACGTAAAAATCCGTCGAAAACTCGAGGACGAAAAAAATCATGATGCCTATACTTTCCTTATATCTGTATACAGATAGGAAAGTAAAAATTGTTGGGTTTCAAGTTGGAGTATTGGGTTTCAGTTAACAGTGCTGGTTCCTAAAGTGGCGTTGGGAAACGGTAACAAAGCCTGCACATAACACGAGGTTAATAACCTTAGTAGTTGATGCCGAGGATATCGAATTAAAAAAAAAAAACTAAATAAATATTGGTCCAGTGGCGTAAAAAAATAGAGGGAACAAGTTGCCACTACCCTGAAAGCGTGCATCACTTTATACACTAGTGAAAAAAGTACAACTTTACGCACGGTATTAGAATAAAGCTTATTATATGTATGGCAATTTTGATTTCAAACCTTTTAACACTCTCTAAGGTTCCTCTATCAAATTAATCAATTAACGAAATATCTCTGGGGTAGAGGATTCAGTCGAATAAACTAACACCCTGTATATCAAAAATAAGAAGAAACTAAAACAATAATAATTGTAGATCATTTTATAGAAACAAATATATTTATTAGCTTCTCGATTAACATTATTTGTTTTTTGATCTTTAGGTAATGTTTTTTTACAGTAATTCCAGTTGAACGATAACACACTACCTGGTTATTGACGCTATTAACTTGTTATCTGATATGAAATATGTGCAAATTACCATTATGAGCGACCTTAACTGTAGGTCAACAATTTGAATAATGTTTGCATTAGACGCAAGGTAAAAAGAACAGTTAGGTAAAAAACTATATAATTTTTAGTTTTTAGTACCTATGTGTACATTAAATTACATACGATTTATTAAAAGTTAAGCAAGAATATGTGGGAAATAAAAATTTCATTATTTGCAATAATTTATACTCTATTAATTTCTATAAATTTTATTTATAGCTGTATATAATTATTAGTGGTTAACATAAAAGTCAATCCATGTGTTTAAATTAGTAGTTTACCATGAATTTAAAATGTGAATTTTATATTCTTTTATGTATGCTGATACCCGGCCGCTTTGCTGGGCATACGATAAAATTTGATTGTGATACTTAGACGTTAAATATGAATAAAAATTTCAAGTATATAATGCACATAAATTCCAAATTAAAAATGTAGATATTGTATGTAATGTGAGTAATTATCGTTTTTCATTGCTTCTTCTTTTTTTTAACATTTCTCTGGGAAATCCCAACTTTTATACTCATTAGCCACAGATAAATTTAAAGTTTTCAATATGTTTTTTTAGTATTCGTGCATTTTCGCGACGACTGTCGTTTTCATAGTAATTTTCCATGAAAAATGCATTGTGATTGGTACAATAATTGTCTTCATTTGTTAATATACTTTTACAAGTAACAAATTTGTAACATAAGTTTATCTTATTTCTACAATCTTTTTTTTTTTAATTAATTATTATTAATCCAAGATGAAAGTTAGGAAGCGCAATTTTTTTATGATACAAGGAAGTTTCTTATTTGACCTTTACTTTAGCAAAAAAAAACTGAAGGCACGTTAATCAACAAAAGACAAAAACAAGTTTTTAATAAATCTTATACAAATCTTGAATTGCATATATGTATAATGGAAATATTGAATACTTCCGCGGTGCACACCTTTATGTTCTTTACACACCCATACATAATTCTTGTAAAGTGGTCACTTTCGTGCACACCTTCCTAATATCTTACAGAGTGGGTACAAGAAGTTCAATACATTATTATTTTAAAATATTTCACTCCATTTCTAAATACTCTTATAGGATTGTACTAACGAAATGTCTATATCAGTAAATTTTAAAACTACTTGAAGGAGTCAAGTATTTTTAGAACTAAAACTCCTGACAACTACTTCCTGTTAAAATTAAAAATGTGTTATTGTTATGTTTCCTGTTCTGAGTTCCAATTACACATCCGTAAATGTCATTTTTAACTTTTATCATTGGTAGATGAGCCAGTGACTTTTAGGTGCGTTATTTGAGCAATGCAAAACTACAAATATTTCGTTTATTCTTAACCTTGTAAAAAAGCCTGTTTAAATAATGCCTTGTGTAAATGTGTACCAAAAAAGTGTCTCTGACTCCCCTATTATATAGACTAAATGACAGTTATTTAATGTAACGATGACAGAGGACAATCGTTGTAGCCAACCTAACAGTTGTAAGGCGAGGATGAGAGAGAGAGAGAAAATTACTAGATTCAAAAGTTTCGAGCTTTTTTCGCGCATGAGTAATGTGAAATTTTCGAATAAAGGGAAAAGTGTATTGTCAGTTTTTTTTTAAATAGCAAATAAAACACATTTTTATAAAAATAAAATATATTTTTAATTCAAACAAAACGAATCGGAAAATAGCAAGAATCACGACTAAACTAGTAAAACTGTCAAGTTATCTATGTGGCAAGCGCGTTGAAATTGAAATGGGTTACCCCCACTCCATTATTGTTTCAAAGATCGGCCCAGAGTCTGAGATTGTTATTTTTATTGATTTTGAGTTCAAAAACAATCGTTTTCTTGTTCTAGTTTAAACTGTTTTAACCAAAATTATTCAATATTATAGTTTCAATGTTCATGTTAGTTTACCTATAAAAAGTACATCATGACTAAATTCCTATACATAATACTTTATTTAAATTTTTGATTTTATCTTATTTTATTTATGTTTCAGGCGTTTACTGGAAAATTAGCTTTTGCTATTGCTGCAGCTGCTCTGGGATCGTCATTTCAACATGGTTACAACACCGGGGTTCTTAATAATCCACAAAAGGTAATAAATTCATAATATAATTTTTAATTAAAAAAAATAAAAAAAAATGCATAAAACACATTTTCTGAATAATAATCGTCTGTATCCAATGTATTTTAATTACATTTATTGTAATTCTTATGTAATTATAATTAATTCGTGATTACCTATCTAGATAAAAAAAAGGAAATAATTATTCGTAGTGACGTAGTCAGTTGCGTAATTAGCCATTTTTCATGGGAGGAGTTTTTGAGAACTATGTGGGGATTCCATCAAGAAAGTGAATAAAACAGTCAATAGCGAGGACCGTCTATGGGGGGGGGTGTTCTGACACCCCAACCCCACCCCCCACCCCCGTGATTACGCCACTGGACGTAGCGTATCAGGGGCCAGGGTAGGCGACGGTCCCTCCCTTCCTTTGCGTTTAGAACACATTTGGGACCGCAAAAATTTTCGCCCCCTCCGCCTTTTGGCCCATGATACGTCACTGCAGAGTGTTTTTAAATATCATGTACATACGGAAGGGGGTAATTTTTTGGCTTATTTCATTATTAAAATGGCATATATACATATGTCCCTAAACGTTTGCTTTCCAATCAACATTGTCAAATAAGTTGACTATCGTTTAAACTAGGAAGAATTGGTTTGCATCATTGAATTTCTCGATAAAATCTCTACGAGAGCTGGTTTTTAAAAATCACCGCTGACTTGTCCGTAAGGCCAGAAAATAGCATTTTCAGATCAAATTTTGGGGAATTTTAACAGAAACAAGCGTTTTTGTTAAATAACTTTACTATCATTTGAACTAGGAAGAAGTGGTTTGCACCATTAAATTTCTTTTTAAATTCCCTACAAACTGGTTTATACTAATTCACGCTGTGGTGTCTAAATTCCCTACAAACTGGTTTTTACTAATTCATGCTGTGGTGTCTGTAGGCCGAAATAGTAGAATTTTTAGATTGCATTTTAACAGAAAAATGTTTTTGTCAAATAACTTGACTACCGTTTATACTAGGAAGAAGTGGTTTGCATCATTAAATTCCTCTTTGAAATCTCTATAAACTGGGTTTTTAAAAGTCACCACTGAGTTGTCCGTAAGACCAAGAAATAGCATTTTCAGATCAAATTTGGGGGAATTTTAACAGAAACAAGCGTTTTTGTTAAATAACTTGACTATCATTTGAACTAGGAAGAAGTGGTTTGCACCATTGAATTTCTTTTTAAATTCCTTACTAACTGGTTTTTATTAATTACTAATTACTGTGGTGTTTGTAAGCCGAGATAGTAGAATTTTCAGATTGAATTTTAACATAAAAATGTTTTTGTCAAATAACTTGACTATCGTTTAAACTAGGAAGAGTGTTGAAAGTTTAAGATTTTTTTGTTTATAGCTCCTCCAGCTTTACAAAACAAAACACCTTGTATATAGACATTTTTTATTATAATTTTAATATGAAAACTAACAATAATTTTTTTTATTAATTGATAAAATAGTTAACGTACACTTGTTTTCATGATGTATACATATACGAAATTCTTATTTTAATCTGAATTCTGAATCGACAGATTGCGAGTAGGTGGATAACTATAAAAAAAAATTTCATAGTTACTACAGTTACTATACATTTTTCTAAATTGCTTATTACTATTATCCCATAAAATCACAGACATTGTTTCAACATTCGCATTTTAATTGATAAAAATTAATGATTAATGATTCCATACTGGACTATCTTAAGTTACAAGCAAGTATTGATTTGGTAAATGATTGGTGAATTAAAAACGAACTTCTTTTAAACGCTAGTAAATGTAACGTTATGTCATTTAGTTAAAAAGGTCATATTGTTACTTTTTTGTATAAGTTAGATATTACCACACTGATGCGACCAGAACTTATTGAACATCTCGGCCTTTATTTCGATATAAAAGTTTTATTTCTCACAGAGAATACTGCAAATGCATACCGTTTAGGATTTGTATTTAGAAATGTAGAACAGTTTGAAGATTTCTCTACTATGGATGTATACGCTTTATACTGTTATGTGAGCCATTTCATTATTCAGTCATGCTCTAACCCTACAAGTCCCTCTCTGTCTTATTTGGCCTTTAAGGCCCAACTTGTCCGATTATTATACATAATTAAACCCCTTAAGACCAAACCTATGGGACGACTATGGCGGAGGTGATTTCGATGATGTTCGAGAAAGGACGAGATAATATTTCTGGACTGTTCGAAATATTTCTAGTTTGGTGGAGAAGCTTCGCGACTCCACCAAATTTTAGAAATTTGTATATAAATATTGGTGGATGAGCCATCAGATCAGTATTATATGGACAGTGAAGATAAATAGTAATCAGTGATATATAGACAGCTGACAATAAAGTATTGGACTGTGAATATAAATAGTGAACGATTCAAAGACATTCGAAATTTATATAAATTAGAAATAGTAGTGTTATAAATAAATAAGTTTTTAAATAAATTATTAATTAATAAACTGTTGTTTAAAATAAACAAACATCACAATACAGTCTAAGCTAGAATATGGCAACTTATTTTGGAATCCTAGTACTTTCTTTAAAGTTAGTTTTAATCTTCTTGGTCTTCTTTTTGTGATTTTTTTTTTTTATTTTTAATTATCTATTATAGGCAAACCTATTTTTTTTTCTTCATTTGATTGGATGTAAAATGTCTGAAAAATGTTGAGAAAAATGTCTGCTTACTGTTTATTTTGTCTGGCCCATACTGCGTTATAGGAAGGAATTATTTTAATATTTCTTGTGGCTTGCCATAGACACTAATTTATCTTTTCATTCGATGAGAGATTATGTAGGTATATGTTTGTCGATTCTTCCTTGAGCCTTTGAATTTCTTCTCTTAGTTTTTGAGTCTCCATTTTTCTGTAACTGTAGTGCTTCGTACTACATATTACTCTTCTCTCTGTCATAATTACGTTGATAGATAAATGTTATAACCTTAAACCAGTCATCTCCACTTTGTCATTTCGACGTTTTATTTTTGTTATGTGAATGGCACTTTAGAATGTTTCGTGGTGGCATGAGACTCAATCCTGTTTCCTGCCAATGTCATAGAATTTCAAAGTTGATGACATTGGAAGTCACATCTGTTTTTGATTTTTGGTGTAGTAGGTAGAAAAACAATGGAGTGTGTGGTGGATAGCTGTGGAAAAAAAAAGAAAGAACAGAACACCAAGAGACAAGAAACATCAACAAATTATTATTTTTTTATTTTGACATTTTTTCGAAGTAACATGTTCTTGACCTTTTTAATAAAAGAATTTTAAAGAAGAAATTTTAATTATATAGTTATTTTGATACAGAGAATACCTATATAATATTGGTGACCCCTCGATCAGAACACATAATTGTACGAGCAACGGAACGAGAAACAGTACGAGGAATTGTACGAGCAACGGTACGAGAAACGGTACGAGCAACAGTACAAGATACCCATCGGATTTCGGCGTAGAAGATAGAAATAAGAATCTCATCAGGTCCAGGTGATCAAGTCAGAAAATCAGATAGAACAACCACATCAGCAACATCTCTACGAGATATACTTCAAGGTTTTTGTTTTTTTTTTTTTGCCTGCTATACCGCAGGTCAAGGGCGAAATATTGCAAGAGGTGAGTTTTGAGTTACTACTTAATGTTTTGAAGTTGCCATTTGTGTTTGACAATAAAATGCCGAATAACGAAACAGAGTCAGAGACTGGTTGTGTCGAAAATTTAAATCACATTAAATTACCTCCTTTCTGGTCATCAAAACCTGAATTATGGTTCAAACAAATTGAAAGCCAATTTTTTATTCATAAAATTAATTCAGATAAAAGTAAATATCATCTCACTGTAGCAAACTTACCGATAGATATTTTTAGTGAAGTTATAGATGTAATTAATAATCCACCAAATTCAAACATGTATGAATCCCTAAAAGGAATAATAATTAACCGATTGACTTTATCAGAAGAGGCTCGTTTAGATAAGTTAATTTCTAGATCAGAACTAGGAGATAAACGTCCATCAAATTTCTTTAGAGAATTATTACAAATCTCTGGAGACAAAATTATTGATGAGAAATTACTAATTAAATTATGGCGGAGACGTTTACCTGCAGTTATTGATATAGCTTTAACAGCATCTGGGAAAGACGACGTGACTGAATTATTGAAACTTTCAGATAAAATTTGGGAATCTCAAAATTCAAAAATGAATATAAACGAAATTCAAGGTCCAAGTACACAAACTGACAATACATTTTTAGTTAAATTTATGACAGATTTCAACAATTCTTGTCAAACTTTATTAAAAACAATCCTTGACAAACAAATTAAATTAGAAAACGAGGTAAGCTCAATTAAGCAAGAAAACCTGTCTTCTCACAGACGAAATGATAATCAGTGTCATTCTTGTCGTCACAGATCAAAAAGTAGGAACAGATATAATAACGATTCTGACAAATTATTATGCTCATATCATAAACGTTTTAAATTGAAAGCATTTAAATGTAATGGCCCACCTTGTTTATTATATGATTCATTTAAAAATAAATCAAAAAACGAATAAGATCAACTATGAACTGTTTGGGAGAAGGAAACATATCTTCAAAAAGACTTTTTGTTTTTGACAAAATCAATAATTTAAATTTTTTAATTGATAGTGGAGCAGAAGTCAGTGTTTTACCAAAAAATATTTTCAAAGGTAATGATAAAGATAACAATTTTTTATTAACGTCAGCATCAGGCAATAAAATTTCTACTTTTGGGAAAAAACTATTAAAAATAGATTTAGGTTTACGTAGAGAATTTCTTTTCGTTTTTATTATTGCTGATATTTGCAAACCAATATTAGGTGCTGATTTTCTAACACATTTTGGATTGCTAGTTGATTTAAAAAATAAGAGAATTTTAGATAACGAAACTTCACTAAGCTCAAAAGGTAAAATTATGAATATAGACAAAGTAGATTTTCCCAAACTTTTTATAGTTGAAAATAAATATACGGAAATTTTTAAAAAATACACTAATATATTTTCATCACCTAATTTTCATTTACCAATTAAACATAACATAGAACATCATATTATTACAGATGGACATTTACCTTACTGTAGACCAAGACGTCTAGATACACAAAAATTTAATATTGCCAAAAAAGAATTTGATAATATGATAGAATTAGGTATATGCCGTCCTTCTTCGTCATGTGTGACATCACCGTTACACATGGTGCCTAAGAAAGATACAGCCGATTGGCGTCCTTGTGGCGATTATCGTTTCTTAAACAAATTAACAATCCCTGAAAGATACCCATTATCGTTAATATCCGATGTTAACATTAAAATCCATGGATGCACCATTTTTTCTAAAATAGATTTAGTGAGAGCATATCATCAAATTCCTGTCGCAAAAGAAGACATTTTTAAGACCGCCATTACTACTCCATTTGGAGCTTTTGAATTTTTAAGAATGCCTTTTGGATTAAGAAACGCAGGAAATACGTTTCAGAGATTTATCAATGAAGTAACTAGAGGTCTTGATTTTATTTACGTTTATTTAGACGACATTTTGATATTTAGTAAAAACGAAGAAGATCATTTGAAACAGCTGCACATTCTGTTTAATAGGTTAGATTCTTTTGGCGTAAATGTCAATCCTTCAAAATGCATGTTTGGCGTCAAAGAAATTAATTTTTTGGGTTACAATATCTCTGCTAAAGGAATGTTACCTACAGAGGAAAAAGTTAAAGCAATAAAAGATTATAAAAAACCAGCTACTCTTAAACAATTACAACGATTTATAGGTATGATAAATTTTTACCATAAATTTGTTCCTAAATTTGCTCAAATTATTTGCCCATTGCATGAATTTGTTGCTTATCTTAATAAAAATAAATTCAAAAATATAGAAAATTGGCCTGAGGAATACGAAAGAAGTTTTAATGAAGCCAAAGACGCGCTTATTAAAGCCTCTTTACTCGTACATCCACAAGAAGGTGCCGAACTATCGTTAACCACTGATGCCAGCAATTCATGCATAGGTGGTGTATTAGAACAAACTATAAATAATGTTAGGCAACCATTAGCTTATTTCTCTAAAAAACTTTCAAAATCACAAATCAATTATAGTGTATTCGATAAAGAACTATATGCGATTTACATGTCAATTAAACATTTTAGACATATGCTTGAAGCAATGAATTTCAAAGTTTTTACCGATCATAAACCAATTGAAAGAGCAATCCATTCAAAATCAGAAAAATCACCACGACAATTTCGTTATATCGAATATATTTTACAGTTCACTAACAAAATAATTTATGTTGGTAGCAAAAATGTAAGAGTGGCCGATTTTTTAAGTCGTATTGAAGAAGACGAAATCATAAATATCAATGCTAAAAAAGACGGAATTAAAGGCAATGATATTGCAAATTTTAATTTACATAAAATTATTTCAGAACAGAAAATAGACATAGAATTAGAGTTCTTATTAAAAAAACAGAATTCAAGTAATAAAAAAGGAAGAAAATTTTTCTTAAGCAATGTAGAGGTTGAAACCCCAAAATTGAATCTTTGGTGCGAAACTTCAAAGGAAAAGAGCAGACCATACATTCCTAAGAGTTTACGTTATAGTATTTTTTTAAAGTTACATAACATAGCTCATACTGGATGTAAGGCCACTGTTAAATTAATAAATTCTAGGTATTTTTGGCCAAGGATGAATAAAGAAATTTATTCATGGTCAAAATGTTGTATTAATTGTCAAAAGGCGAAAGTGCTTAGACACACAAAATCACCTCTAGGAAATTTTAAAATTCCAGAAGGAAGATTCCAACATATCCACGTAGACTTAGTGGGTCCTTTGAAACCTTCAAGAGGTCATAATTATTTATTTACTGTTATTGATAGATGTACTAGATGGGTAGAAGTTTATCCACTTAAGAACATCAGTTCAGAATCAGTAATCAAAGTTTTATTAAATCAGTATATAACACGCTTTGGTGTACCAGTGTATATTACTCATGACCAAGGCAGTCAATTTGAATCTAGTATGTTCAAAGATTTTAGTAAAAGGTTAGGATTTCAAAGTATCCATACAACTACTTACCATCCTCAAGCCAATGGGATGATAGAACGTTTTCATAGAACACTAAAGGCATCGTTATCTGCAAAATTAATTTCGAATAATTGGTATGATGAATTACCTTTAATATTATTAGGGCTAAGATCTGCTATAAAAGAGGACTTACAATGTTCTTCTGCAGAATTGGTATACGGCCAAACTTTACGTTTGCCTGGTGAATTTTTCACGTCTTCAAATGAAGAGATAGATACTCATTCAATATTAATTAATTTGAGAGAAAATTTCAACAAATTAAGACCAGCTCCAGTTCAGGAACACGGTATAAGGAAAACATTTGTTTCTCCAGAATTAGAAAACGCAGAATACGTTTTCTTAAAAGTTCAAGGCATTAAAGCCGCTTTAAAACCTTGCTACGAAGGTCCTTTTAAAGTTATTCGTAGATCTGATAAACTTTTTACAATTTTAAAAAATAATAACGAATTAGTTATCAATATTGATCAGTTAAAACCTGCATTTTTATTATCGGATAATAATGAATCTATAAAAGAAGTTAAGAAAGTTACATTTGCATTAAATTAAATAGTTCATTATTTTTAGTTGTTTCATAATTTATATGTTATTTTTTTTTAAGAGGGGAAGTATTGTAGTGCTTCGTACTACATATTACTCTTCTCTCTGTCATAATTACGTTGATAGATAAATGTTATAACCTTAAACCAGTCATCTCCACTTTGTCATTTCGACGTTTTATTTTTGTTATGTGAATGGCACTTTAGAATGTTTCGTGGTGGCATGAGACTCAATCCTGTTTCCTGCCAATGTCATAGAATTTCAAAGTTGATGACATTGGAAGTCACATCTGTTTTTGATTTTTGGTGTAGTAGGTAGAAAAACAATGGAGTGTGTGGTGGATAGCTGTGGAAAAAAAAAGAAAGAACAGAACACCAAGAGACAAGAAACATCAACAAATTATTATTTTTTTATTTTGACATTTTTTCGAAGTAACATGTTCTTGACCTTTTTAATAAAAGAATTTTAAAGAAGAAATTTTAATTATATAGTTATTTTGATACAGAGAATACCTATAGTAACAAGTTCTATTAATTCGAAATAAAATTTATTTAGAATTAAGGAGTCCAATGTCTAGGAACTACAGTTTTTACCCCTTATTCAAAATCAATCTATTTCTAGGAGTACTTTTAGTATTTATATTATTTTAAGAAGACTTTCTCATAACTCATGTTATAATTATTGTTCATCTTGCTTTATGATTATTGGTTCATTGATTCAGCTTAGACATTTATACAGGGTGATAAATTATTGTGACAAAGTCCAATATCTCCGCCATTATTAGAAATATAAAAAAAATATTTTCACTGAACGGTAGACAGCGTTAAACTACATATTTTAAAATTATTTTTGAATATACAGGGTGTTTAATAACTTCTCTCAGGAACCAATTATGTTTTTTTAATGGATCACCCTGTATTTTATTTTATATTTGAATTACCCTCGCTTTTCCCATTCTAAAATTATAAATTATTATTGGTTTATACAGGGTATTTTGCAGGATATAATCAGTTTTGTATGAAAATCGTATTGAATTCAATGACCTATATCATGCAAAAGAAACCATTGATAACCAATTTTTTTTACCACAATTATTCGATCATGGTTAGATTTTATCCGGAGACACTACTTTTTTCAATTCGCATCAAATCTGTACAGGGTCAGTCAAAACACAAATACATAATTTTCTCAATTTTTTTAAATGGTTCAGCCTGTATTTTATATCATCATTCAAAAGTATCCTAATTATAATTTAATTTTACTTAAGCATTCTCTTATTATATCCTGCAAAATACCCTGTATAAACCAACAATAATTTATATTTTTAGAATGGGAAAAGCGAGGGCAATTCAAATATAAAATAAAATACAGGGTGGTCCATTAAAAAGAACATAAGTTGGTTCCAGAGGAAAGTTATTAAATACACTATATATTCAAAAATAATTTTAAAATATATGTAGTTTAACGCTGTCTACTGTTCTGTGAAAATATTTTTTATATCTAATAATGGCGGAAATATTGGACTTTTTTCACACTAATGGATCACCCTGTATTTAATATTTAAGTATCTTTCTAAGCTTTTGATACTGTCATAAATTAATTAACCACAGGTTAAAGTTATTAATAAATTAATTCCTGATACTTATTTATTTTTTTAGATTATTGAAAACTGGATTAATGAGACTATGTCGAATAGGACGGGAGAAATTCCATCACAGGAAAATGTTACATTCATATTTTCTTTAATGACGTCAGTGTTTTGTATTGGTGGAATGATAGGAGGAGCTACCACTGGTAAGAAAATTAATTATTATTTATTTTAATCAAATTTTCATTTAATTTTAAATGATAAGTATACAAGGTAAGAATTGTAAAAAATCTGATGTGTCCAACACATGACTTTCCTATCTAGGTATTACAGGCTTTTTCCGGTTATTTTGTACAATCTATTGCAGCATCTCTATAAATGTTTAGAGGATAAACTAAATATATACATTGTCCACATACATCTACCGCGAAACATTTTTCTATAGATATTCATTGAAAATGAAAATACTGAAAAATTTAAATTTAGCACTTTTCCTACAATTTTTCCATTACGGTCCATTTTAAAAAAATCATGTATAAACAAATATTATAGAGATCGATATCGCAAACAACTTTTATTTCAACAATTTTCATAAAAATCAGAATTTTGCACATTTTGTCAAATTTTTCGAATACGGACCATTTCAGGAAATTTTTACATAAAGCAAAAATTATAGATGATAATAATATTAGAAGTAACTTTTATTGAACAATTTTTTTCTTCAAACATAAATAACAGATATATTCCATAAAATATAAAAACGGCCTCCCATAAAGTACCCCCCCAGATGTTCCGACTCTGCCCAAAATCTAATCAGCTCATTAGACGTTGGAACAAAGCTTAAGTTTGAAATTTGGTGTTTTTCCGTGTATCGGTTCATGAGTTATGCGTTATACAGACACACACACACACACACACACACACACACACACACACACACACACACACACACACACACACACACACACACACACACACACACACACACACACACACACAGACACACACACACACACACACACAGACATCATCGCGAAAATAGTCAAAACGGATTCAGGGGACCTCAAAACGTAAAAATCCGTCGAAAACTCGAGGTCGAAAAAAATCATGATTCCTATACTTTCCTTATATCTGTATACAGATAGGAAAGTAAAAATGGGAGAAATATGTTGGTAATTAAAGTCGAAAATAAGCTAACAAAAATGAACTTACAAAAATACAACTTTTTGTCTTTTAAATATTTTTCGTATTTGTCTTTCACGAAAAAATTAAAATTAAAAATTTTAAAATACCGAAAACCCCTGTATATCAAAATAAAGTTCATCTATTTTTCGCTAAATTATCAGTTGATGAAATCCTGATAATATAAACTAGATCACTTTGTATAATTGTATGTATTTTCATAATATATTCAGGAACAGTAACCACGTCTATTATTTCAACCGGAAATATTTTTCCTATTAGGTTTTTTTATCTTATCACTCGGATAATCCAATTATTTAGAGTATCTAATGTGATTTTTTTTAGAATGAAAAGAGGAAGTATTTAAACAATCTAAAAAATACTGATATTCTCTCCTACACAAAAATTATTAAAAAAAAAAATAGTTTTTCTAGCTCGTTTGAACTATTTCTATGTCATATTTGAAGAAATGAATGGCAGAAGTTGTTATCTAACAAAATTAGTATTCAAGGTTAAAAGGTAGATAATACGTTTTTCCAAAAACAAATTATTCAGAAATATTCTATTTTCGTAAATAGAAAAAGACTATTAGGATTTTTTTTGGTGGTATATATCGACATAACAACTTCATTTAGATATAAAAGTCAAGTTTTGACAAAATGTCAGATAACGCCTTCTGTCATTCGCCCCTTCAATTAGTCATTCCAACCTCCGAGGACGACCTGTCAAAATGCTGACAAGTGGGAACTGACAATTTAGATATGACAACACTGTGGGCCTGTTGTCATTGATAGGGTCAATGATACATAGTTATATAGATTACTCAAAGCGGGTCATTTGCGAGTAGCCATATTGTTTCACAAGTGCTCATTAATCAGAATCGGTTTAGCAAAAATTTTCAGCCTTTGAATATAGTAAAAAAAAAATCATTACCGACATTTTTACTTTGAGGCATAAGTTTGTCTATTTTGAAAAACATGGATGATCAATCTATATAACTATCTATTTCATTGACCTTGTCAAATCACCAGGCCTACAGGGTTACCATATCATAACCTGTCATAACCCATTGGTAGCCATTTTGTTTGGAATGCCTGTTTAAACCACGAGTTGGAAGCAATGACATATATAATTTATATAGACTGCTCATCTATACGTAAATAAAACGATGAAAAGCGGGTCGAATTGGGAGATACTTTCTCTTTGTCTATACTCTGTTTTTAAACTAGGAGGAGCGAATTGAAAAGACGCATTTACACAGGGAAAAGTAACTAGATTTGTTACTAAGAGCGAGTTTCGAAATATAGTCGTGTTCAAAATTTATGAAATAATTATCTTTATCGGCCTTAGTCGGCGAACGGCCAATGAGCGGTTAACAAACGAATAAATGTCATAAAAGTAATTTTTTAATTGGTCCCAGACAACGGTCGCAAATTTCACATTATTGTGATCTGAAATGTGTCTAAAACGAAATGTCACTGTCAAATTAAAGTCAATATTGTTGTTGATTGATGTCAGAAATACTTTTTTCTTGCTTTTTGAGAATAACTATGATCCCTTTAAAATGGATATAAAATATTTAAGAAAATTGTTAATGGAATATCCAGATGTAGCCAGGTTAGTATAAAATATAAAGATCTGTTTACATTTTTAAGGATAATTTGTTATAGGTATAAAAAGTAAAAGTTAATCAGTGAATGACAAGTGGATCACACAGTAAGTGGTATCTCTTCTATAAGTAATGTGGATATTATGGCTTATTTAGTGTTAACCCATGGTTAATGCGCTAGAGGGCAAATAAAGGCATTCAAAAGTTTACAGGCCTATGAGTCAGAATTTGTTTTGAAAACTGAAAACATTTTCATAACACTACATGTCAACATATATTTTTTAAAGTGAACTATTCATACATACCTATGTATTAATTTTAAGTATTTTTAAAATATTTTTTGTGAAAGTAATGTTAACTCATTGTGCCAAATTAAGATTATCCCTAAAGTAGTAGATGGTGTTTTAAATGTTATAACAATTTTGTAAATAGTTTTATTCTATTCTAATAAATAAAATTTGCTTAAATATTTAGTTACATTTTAATCATTTTGGTAAGAAATTCATCAATTTTTAGTTTTAAAAAATCAGTAATAAAATTATTTTTTTCTAAAATACTTCGGAATTCATCTCTTCATAGTAATCTCTCATCTTTTTACCTTCAAAAGCCAATAATGCATTTTCTACAAAACCTTCAGAATCAGCATGTAAAATAATGTGTCTTCCCTTTCTTGTAAGGCTTTTCAGGAATTGCTACCTTTAATAGTACTCAGTGTAGAAGCATCCATAATTGTAGATTTTCAATACAATTGCTTACTGAAGAACTATTATTTACGAAATAAAGTAAAAAACTAAGTAATGGATGAGATATCAAATTATAAAATGTCAGAACTGTCAACAATATCAATTATTAGCTGATGTTCATGCTAAAACGTAATGTGTGAAACTGACTGTAATCTGACCAATCAGAAGGCTACAGAATTACCAACTTAAATTCAAATCGCTCCTCTTAGTTTAAAAACAGAGTATAGTACATACAATGTTTGTGTTTTGTCTCAATTGTGAGTGCTTACTGGTAAATAAACCTTTTACAGAACCGGTTTAGAAGAAAGTTTAGTCTAGTTGAGATTTTGTTTTCCTTGTCATTGCTCAATCGAACGTTTTGTTGAATTGTTTATTTTATTGAGTTTTAATTATGCAAAGCTCTTCAGAAGCACACATATCTTCATTATCTGCTTCAGTAGTAGATAATATGTTCATTAACTGCAAAAACACATTGAACATATTATAACTAACCAAACATTTTAAATTATGCATGCGTACATCCATTGCCTGAAGAAGATAACTCAATATTTGACCACCAATTGACATTTTACTAATACTGGACACATCATTATTATTGACAGTAACCATTGTCGTAGATTTCCTGTCCCTTTTGTCACCTGCCCAATCAACATCGGCATAACATAAATTTCCTTGTACCTTCTTCATTTCCAAGTTGAAGTTTTATCCCTTTTGTTCCTTTTAGGTATTTCTTGACTCGTTTTACCTCGTTCCAGTCCCTTTCTGTAGGATTTGTTACATTTCTACTTAAAATAGATATACTGACTGCAATATCGGGTCGAGTATTAGTGGATATATAGCAACGAACCAATTGCCTTTCTGTAAAGTTCATTATTTTGTAACTTTTTTCGTTTCCTGTATATTTATAATATCCTGGGTCTATTGGAACATTGGATTCCTTGGCATTTTCTAAACCAAATTTATTTAAAATTTTATCAATATAATGAGTCTGACTTACTGACTTACTATCTTTATGCCCAAATAATATCTTAAATCGCCCAAAACTTTAATTTCAAAATTTTCTTTTAAGATATTTTCCACTTCATTCATTTGTTTTTGTCTATCATATATAATGATAATATCATCCACATATAATAATAGGTAAACATAGTCATTGTCTAGAGACAGTAGTCAGATTCTCCTCTTCTGAATTCATTAACAATTAGTACTTCGTTAATTTTATCATTCCAGGCTTTAGCAGACTATTTTAATCCGTAAATACTTCTATTTAATTTACAGACGAAATTATGATTTTTTTCATCTTCAAAACCTTCATGTTGTCTCATATAAACAACATCTTTCAAGAATCCACTCAGATATGCAGTTTTCAAATCTATGTGTTTGACATTCATGTGTTTAAAACCGGCAATTGTAAGTAAAGTTCTGATAGTTAACTACTGGTGCAAAAATATCATCGTAATCTTCTCCATATTTTTGAGAAAATCCTCTGACAACTAATTTAGCCCTATAGCGTATCCTTTTTAATTTTATATACCCACCTATTATCTATTATCTTCCTATTTCCCGAATTTTCTACTAAATCCCACGCTTCGCACTTTTTCATGGAATTCAGTTTTCCTTTCATAGCTTCTATCCAATTCTGTTTTTCAGGTAGTTTGATAGCTTCTTTAAAGGTTATTGCTTCTTCTTCATCAGTGTATTCTTTTAACACTGTTACTTCTTCCTTTTCTTCTTTATAGTTAATTTCTTTTTCAATTAGATCATCATTTTGTTTGGTTAAATTTTCGTTATTAAATCCTGACATAATATTAATTGATACTTCATTATCTTTTAATTCTGATTACTTTTCTTTATATATTTTCTCATGAAATTTTTGTTTTTCACAGACTTTTACGTTACTGCTAACTGTAATTTTGCAAGTTTCTAAATCTATTAAACGGTGTGCTTTTAACTGCTCACTTTAACCAATAAAGATCAATTTTTGTGATTTATCATCAAATTTTGACCTCTTTTCCTTGGGAATGAATGCATATGCTTCAGATCCAAAAATTCATGTTTTTTAAGTTTGCTTTTCGTCCAGTCCATAATTTATATGGTGTTTTATTACATGCTTTTGTTGGTAACCTGTTCTGCATATAATTTGCAGCCATAACAGCTTCGCTCCAAAATTTGTCATCTAAATTTGATTCCAAAAGTATACATTTTGTCATCTCAGTTAAGCATCTGTTTTTTGTCTGTCTGCAACTGAATTGTGTTCAGGTGTATGTGTATATGGAGTTGATAATTCTTGTTTTATTTCATTTTTCTTAAAGAATTTTTTAAGTAAATTTGATCTGTATTATCCTCCATTATCACTTCTTAAAACTTTTCCTATTTTATTAAATTTTGTTTTCATTTCTTGTACATATTCTTCCACTAGATCTTCAACAGTTTAGACCTACAAAACATAAATTAGCAGATCAAACAATTCATATTAGAAATGTAAAAATATTAGTTGATGAAATCTTCTTTTGTAAAGTGGTGAGAGCAAACTCACATACTTATTATTAGTAATAACTCATTTCCCATTTTCAATTTAATTGTCCAAACCTTTCTTTGAAGTGCATTTTTCATTGCTCCAAAGGTATTTTCAATTTCAATACTTCTATCAACTGGAAAGGAAATTTATAAAAAGATAAATTGGGATTATTTTCCCTTTTCTACTACTGTAACCAAATACACATCAATTTCGATTGTAGAAATATCACGCTTAAAATACAACTAATAAGGTATTCACTGAAGTCCAACTTTTAAAACACAGCCAGAGTCAAAACAAAACATATTTATATTTAAATAACGGCTGCTGAACGTTCTTAATAAAATGGATCTTTTTTTAAATAAATAGGAGACCAAAATAGACAAGCATACTCAAACGAGATCTAACAAACGCATTAAACAACAAACGATGTAATATAACTTTGTTTATTTATAAATTAATTGCAATTTCTAAAGATCATGCCAATAAGTTTGCGCTTTGCAGTCGATTTTATTATGATGGTCAGATTTTCACTGGTGGAAGCTTTTTATGTACCGGAAATATTCCTTTAGAGTTTTATTTTTGATTCATCAAATCGTTCACATTTACCGCCGAAATAATCCATAATAATTGTTCAATGTCCAAAGGGAACAAACTTTAAAATGCTAAAAACTACTTACTTTTAGTAAAATCTTTAAAAATTTCATTCATTTTTTTCATATCTGCTTTTAAAATGCGATATGAATTTTAAAAGAATAATCAAGTATCCAAATAGTGACCTAGGGTTAGTTACATTCATTATTATTAAAGATGTTTATACAGGAGTATAAAATTGTTTAAATCTATGTTCAAAATTGTTTAGATCACTTAAAATGTATGTTTTAAAAATCTTTACGACTCAAACAAATATATATTCTTTTTCAAAATTCCTAACGCCAAGCTCCTGCCTTGAAGTAAACATTCAAGTAATTATTATTCTTAATTCAATTCCTACTTTGATGAATTATGGGTTTTAGATAGGGTTGCCACATTTCCGGAAGTGAAAAGCGTTGCAACCATGACGATAGAGCATTTTTATATAAACAGGTCCAAATTGTGTGACCATTTCTAAAAAAAAAAAAAAATAGAGTTTTCTTATACAATGTGTCTACTTAAGTTGGAACCATATGGAAAAAAAATTATTATTGATTTTAGGAAACAAAGTTATTCTTGATAAAAAGTCCTGCATGACCCAAAACTTAAAATACAGTCATCAGATATCAAATTTTTCAAGCCGTATACGAGGTTTGTCATAAAATATGAATTTTGCTCAAGAGTAAAGTACGTTTATTTTTTTACAAAATCGAAAATTTTCATTAAGAAATTTGCTAAATTCTTCACAAACATCAACAAAAAGAAAGTGTATCATGTTTAAAGTAGCTAACGTAATTTATAACGTTTTCAGATATTTACAATCAATATGTAGAGTGTAGAGTTTATAAAAAATAAGAAAATCTGTTTTTTCAGATAGATCGGTGTAATTGCATATTTGAATGTAATATTTAATTCTAATCAACTTTTCAAAAATAAACGTACTTTACTCTTGAGCAAAATTCATATTTTTTTGGCAAACCTCGTATACGGCTTGGAAAATTTGATATGTGATGACTGTATTTTAGGTTTTGGGTCATGCAGGACTTTTTATCAAGAATAACTTTTTTTCCTAAAATCAATAATATAAATGTTTTCCATATGGTTCCAACTTAAGTAGACACTGTATATTCAGATCCATTTTTTGTGAACTCTAAAAAGTCTAACATTTTTATATAATCAGGTCCTTTTTTTCCGAACATTTCTAAAAAAAGGTGCTTTACTTATAAAAAGGTCCTTCACTTATTTTTCGTACAAATGAGGGTCTTTTACCCGGTCTATTTTTATATAAATCCGATTCCTCTGCGGCTTTTAAAAAGCGTGCAGGCAAGTCAAAAAGCGTGACTGCCACGCCAAAAGCGTGACGTCTGGCAACCCTAGTTTTAGACTCATTTGAGCCACACCTATTTTGCCTGGTGAGCACACGGCAAGACAATATTGTCGTCTTGTTTACATATGGATAAGCAGTCTATATAAACTATATATGTCATTGGTTAGAAGGAAATGAATCAGTTCTTTAACCGATAAGTTTCCAGACCTTTTAAATACCGATTGTCCCACTAGATTGAATGATGCTATAAGAGAGATCAATCAAAAGTATCGGAGCTTTTCTGTCGCCTCTCATTACACGCCTTAGTTTACAATTTCATACCTGAACGGTAAAAGTTTTTATAGCAGAGTCAAAAATCCAACTCTTATTAGCAGTTCATCGAATATTTCATACACAATTTTTGCTGTTTTACGTTATATCACACTATAAGTTGCGATTTGTATTAATTAACAAGATAAAGTTTGTGATGTAAATGTAAATTATGATTTTTCTCAATGATTAGTTACTTTAAGAGTCAATATAACAACTTATATTTTTTTGCAGGATTAATTGCCGATAAGTTCGGAAGAAAAGGAGGTCTATTACTTAATAATATCTTAGTTATTATCGCTGTTATATGCGAAGCGTCCTCTAAATCCGCCTCATCCTATGAATTGATCATTTTGGGAAGATTCTTCATAGGAGTCAATTCAGGTTTGAACGCAGGTTTAGCACCGATGTATTTAGCAGAAATATCACCGATTAATCTTAGAGGAGCAGTAGGAACTGTCTACCAACTTGTTATCACAATTTCCATTTTGGTTGCCCAAATTCTCGGTTTGAAGAGTATTTTGGGTACAGATGATCTCTGGGTTACATTGCTAGCTATGACTATCGTTCCGGCCATTTTTCAGGTAAATTTTATTGAATAGATAATTGAATACCTGCACAAGGTTGTAATCAATATTTTTAAGGATCATTTTAGCTTCCAAAAGTTGCCTGGATGTAAATTAACAACATTATTTCTTTTTAGTTGGCGACGCTTCCATTCTGTCCAGAATCGCCGAAATTCATTCTGTTATCGAAAGAAAACGAACCTCAGGCTAGAAAAGCGCTATCTTGGTTCAGAGGAACGGTCGATGTTCACGAGGAAATGGACGTAATGAAAGCAGAATCCGATGCCGTCAAATTGATACCGAAAGTTACTGTAAGAGAATTAGTAACGAACAGCACTTTGAGAATACCTCTGATCATTTCGCTGACCGTTATGGTTGCTCAGCAATTGTCCGGTATAAACGCAGTCATGTTCTTTTCTAGTAAAATTTTCAACATGGCAGGTTTGAAAGGAGACAATCCGACGTACGCAACTCTTGCTATGGGCGGAGTGAATGTATTGATGACGATTGTTTCGCTGTTTCTCGTAGAAAAAGCCGGAAGGAAAACTTTGTTGCTCGTTGGTTTTGGTGGAATGGCTGTCGATACGCTACTTCTTACTATTGGAATGCTCTTTGTCGTAAGTTCTATTTTTTAATACTTATATAACATTTTTGTTTTGATAATATTTAAGGTTGCAGTAAGGATAAGTAATTTTGATAGATGTCATGTGGTAACAGTAATATCGATATCAAAACTTTTTTTATTTTATAACCTTCTAATTCGTATTAGTTGTTCTAGTAGTCAAAATTGAATAATTATAATTATCGATTTTTTAATATTTTGGAAGGGAACAAAACTTGAGTTGATTAAGATGGTGGAATGCTCAATCGTCTAAGTGCGATCCACTCGAGTTGTACAGAATATTTTTTCTACGACCCGATAACGGAAATCTACAAATTAAAAAAATATTTTAGGTTATTAAGACAAAATAATTAATTTTAAAATAATTTATGAATTTTACTGATTTTTAAAAAAAAAATAAATATGAAAAGAAATAAAAATTATTCGTCAGCCGATTATCGATTATCGGCTTTTCGCGTGGAAGTCAAGCACTCTGTTCATGCCTGTACAGCCACTTTTACGATTTTGGTTTTAATACTCGTAATTAAAATAATTTCATATAGTTTGATTAAATTTTTTTTTTTTTATGGTTCAAATAAAAATAGAAATTTACGATTATTTATCAATTTTATACAAAAATAACTCAACCTAGGTAAATAATGAAACTAAATTTCATTAGTTTCATTTTGTTAATTTGACAACTAAACTCCCAGACTACTTAATATTTTGAAATATTTGAAAAATAAGTAGGAAATAACTAAAGCTGGGTTTATTAAAATCTAATCAAATCAAATATGATAATATATATCAGTGTTAATAGTAAAAATATATATTAACTAGGAAATTCAACACCGGCTTTAAAAATTATTAATTAATAACAATAAATCCATGTCATTAAAATATCAAAAATGCAATGGGATATTTCCTAGAATCATACCAAAATTTGACACATGCCAAATTTTTACATAAATAAAGCCAGTCTGATTAGAAACACGCTCCAGTCTGCTTGATATTTCGAAATATTTAACAAATTGTTAGGAAATTACTTATGTCAAAATTAAAATTGCTAATACATTAATGTTAGTAGTAAAAAAAATTCTATATATACCTCGGCTGAGAAAGCTATTATTTACCTCGCACATTATATCCCTCGGCGCTACGCGCCTCAGGATATAAAAGTGCTCAGTAAATAATAGCTCACTTCTCACCCTAGGTATATAATGTACTATTAATGTACATTTAATCATAATAATTAAAAAATATACTGACAATTAGTTTTACAGGATTGTCATTTATTTAAAATTTTAAAAATAATAGTAGTTGGGTGTCCAAAATATGAACTGTGGTTGGTGAATTTCATTTTTTTGTCGTGTTCTGAATACCTAGAATGGATATGAAATATATTCATTTTATAGTCTGTCTGTAGATAAGTTAATATCCATGTGGGTGTAGAAAATATAATTCCTAGGATATTCAAGTTTTTTATTAATTTAACTGGTAATTTCCCTGTGACACCTATTTAAAAATTAACGTGCTAAGAAGTTACATAAATTTATAGAAAATCTCTACTTTGACTAATGAAGACCTCGCACACCGCTTATGGAAAAGTGGCAACCTGTTAAATGTCTTACATTTTTGATATGTTGCAGTTCCCAATCTCTTAAGCAATAGTGTCCATGGGACTATTCAAATCGTATGTCTAGTTTTTGAGATACAGGGTGTTAAACTTAACCAGCAGAAAGCAAATAATTTTTTGTTTTTTGTGCCAAATCTTATTGTAACATCTTTTGGCATTCTACGAATATAAAAACGGATTAAAAAGTATTTTTCTTTACAGGGTGAGCCACAAATAAGTAAGGACATGTTTTTTTATAATTACTTTTATTGTTCTAGAAGGTAAAAATATTTACTAAAAAATAAATTATTGCTATATTTATCATGTCTATTGATAATACAAAATTTATCAGGTGCCATTTATATAGGGTGATTCATAAATATCGACATATATGTTTTATAAGTATTAATTTGAAACGCAGTATTTTTACGGGAGTTTTGTGTATTTACCATATGTATAATTATCTAATTCATTGACTACAGGGCGATTTAATAAATATATTGATAGTTAATTTATCGAATGTGTCAAAAAAACAATTTTTTTAAGCACTCTATACTTTTTGATTAGACCTGTAAAAGTATACATATTTTTTTCACTGGCGTATCATTCATCCTAAAGAAGATATTTTCCAAAATTATAGCATTTTGCTATGATTGGTTTTTGAGATACAGGATGTTAAACTTAAAAAATAACCATTTTTATTACCAGTTACTACAGGAAAAAGCTAATCAATTACAATTTTGTGTGTTTAGTATTATTGTAACATGCTTTGACAGTCCTCGAATATACACAGGAGTCTAAAAATATGTGTCTCTACAGGATGAATCGTAAATAAGTAAGGACATGTTTTTTGATATTTACTTTTATTTTAGAAGTTGAAAATATGTACAAAAAAATAATTATTGCTATATTTAGTTATATTCACTTCTACCTGAAACAATAAAAAATGATTATAAATATAATTCTTACAAAACTAAAATAAAAGAATGGTTATTTAAGATGGAAAACAATTTATTTACAAATTTATTACACTAAAAACAAAAAATACTTACCAAATTCAATTTTAGCTATAATCTATTATGACTTTAAATACAAACAAATTTAAATTTACCTGATTTTGACTTTTACCTTGATTTACACGTATTCACAGATTGTGACTTTTAAATATACCCTATTTTGACTTTTTTCCTGATTTTGGCGTTCTCTATGTTTTTTCTATTTCAGATATGGACATATAAATTGTATTTAGGTTTATCTTTTTTGATTGTAATTATTACAGTGTGTCTACTTAAGTTGGAACCATATGGAAAAAAAAATATTATTCATTTTAAGAAAAAAAGCGTTTCTTAATAAAAAGTCCTGGATGACTCAGAACTTAAAATACAGTCATATATCAAATTGTTCAAGCCGTATACGAGGTTTGTCAAAAAATATGAATTTTGCTCAAGAGTAAAGTACGTTTATTTTTGACAAAATCGAAAATATTCATTAACTTCAAGAAAAGGAAATCGTATTATGTTTATAGTAGAGAAGAGAGAGGGAGAAAAAATATGGGTTACCGTAATAGATTACTTCTATACAAGGGAAATGCAACCAACTTGACAAAATAAAATTGACACTAATGACATAAGAAATCGGGTCACATAAAGAAGCTGTTTTTTTATTCAATTTTTGGTTTTTCTTATCTACTTTTATGCCATTTACATACCATGTTGTACCTGTAATGTAAAAAACACTTTTTATTTTAAGGTATTTTATATTTAAAGGTTGAAGACATTTATCAATAACAACTGTCGATAATGTCAAAACATAAGCGTAGAATTGTGATTTATTTTTTATTTTTAATAGTCTATTTGTGTTTCTTCCGGTTTCTTCAAACATTTTTTTCATTTGCTTTTATATATTTATGTCAAATGCAAAAATTCTACTGCTACAAATACAAGTTCCTTACACTATTCAACTATATACAATACTAGTTACGTTATGCCCATCTACGGTTACGCCTGTGTCCTACCAACAACATAATTGACAGCTGACACTGACAAATTTTTTCAACCTTTAGATGTAAAAAGTCTTTTATACCTTACGGGTATAACATGGTATGTAAATGGCATTAAAGTATATAAGAAAAACGAAAAAGTAAACTAAAAAACAGCCTCTTTATGTGACCCGATTTCTTATGTCATTAGTGTCAATTTTATTTTTTAAGTTGGTTGCACTTCTCTTGTATAGAAGTCCTTTATTGGGTGGATCAATACAAAATATAGAAAAATAGAAAAAATCTTATTTTTCAGATAGATCGGTATAATTGCATATTTGAATGTAATTTTCAATTCTAATCAACTTTTCTTCATGAAAATTTTCGATTTTGTCAAAAATAAACGTATTTTACTCTTGAGCATAATTCATATATTTTGACAAACCTCGTATACGGCTGGAAAAATTTGATATATGATGACCGTATTTTAAGTTCTGGGTCATGCAGGACTTTTTGTTAAGAATAGCTTTTTTTCCTAAAATCAAAAAAAAAATTTTTCCATATGGTTCCAACTTAAGTAGACACATTGTATATAATAGGTATACTGGATTAAAAATTCATTGGTAATTTAACAGCACGTAAAAGCGACATTTTTACTGCTTTTGTGCCCTAACCTGTTTATTTATTGTGTTAAATATTTTGTTATATACTTTTATATTGTATTTGTTATCAGTAAATAAACGTTCTTATGTGTATAACTATCCCATTTATTGATTACATAGTGATTTAAATTGTTTTTTTACACATTCGATAAATTAACTGTCAATATATTTATTAAATCACCCTGTAGTCAATGAATTGGATAATTATATGGTAAATATACGAAAGTCCCGTAAAAATACTGCGTTTCACATTAATTGGCCTATATTAATATATACGAATCACCCTGTATATTTGGTACCTAATATCTTTTGTATTATCAATAGACATGATAAATACAGCAATAATTTATTTTTTAGTAAATAATTTCACCTTCTAGAACAATAAAAGTAATTATCTAAAACATGTCTTAACTTATTTGTGTCTCACCCTGTAAAGAAAAATAATTTTTTATCCCTTTTTATGGTCGTAAAATGCCAATAAGATTTGGCACAAAACATAACAATCGATTAGCTTTCTTCTGAAATAACCGTTATCAAATAAGTGGCATTTCTTAAGTTTAACACCCTCTATCTCAAAAACCAGTCGGAGGATTTGACACTATTGCTTAAGAGGTCGAAAACTGCAACATATCAAAAATTTATGACATTTAACAGGTCTCCAGTTTTCTATAAGCGGTGTGCGGGGTCTTTTCACAAATATTTCTTATTTTAACAGATTTAGCAAAATTGAAACGTAATTGAAATTTGTATGTTTTTATTTTCTTGCGTTGTAAATGTATTTTTTATATATATATAAAACTACAGTTCTAATTTTTAATTTATAATGCGTGTAGATCTTGTTTGGAGCCTTTTTCGGTACTATAGTTTAGTTATTATTTTATTCTTTAGTGGATCATTATTAACTATCTTTTATCTTTTTTTTTTTACCTATTTTTTTGATAAACTTATCAATTCATGTTTAAGGGCAGCGTCTGGCCATATCTCGAAAACTGTTTATCAGGTCAATTTCGCAATTTTTTTACAAAATCTTTAAAAGAAAATACTTAAAAATGATTTTACTTTTGTAACTTTTCGCTATCACGTGATATACCCCACAATTGTGTTTTCATAAAAAAATCTATGTAATTTTAAACCAAGCTTTCAAAAAAAACTAAACAATATTTTGAAGTGTATTGTATTTCATTATTTTTCTGTGTTGGTTATACGGGATGTAACGGAAAGACAACATGTAAATATGTTTAGTTTTAAAGAAAATTCCTTAGATACCAAAAGTCAACGTCATTTTTCGAGTACTTTAGAACAACTTCGTTTCTTAAGAAGTCTTTACAACCCCTAGACACACTTCATAAACGGTTTTCAATATTAAAATTAATGCTAGGAAGTATGTTTTTCTTGAAAGTTTGGTTTAAAATCAACCGCGCATATACGGCAGATTTCTATGGGCGAACGCCAACCTTAAACAATTGTTTTTTTTTAATATATAGGTACTTAACTAATCTTAACAATTTATTTGTAATTCATTGTATGTGAAGGCATGTATCCAAAATACATATATTCTTATAGCTAAAATATAGTAAAACTGCAACCTTAATATTTTCAATCAATAAACTATTGTACATTTCTATTTTTTTTACTAAAATATTTCTAAAAGGTCAAACTGTAATAAACTTAAATTTTCTTTTTTATTTTAGCATACTGGTTCAACTGCTGGTATTTTCTGTGTACTGTTCGTATTGATATTCGTGGTTATGTTTGCAATTGGACCTGGATCAATCCCGTGGTTCTTAGTGTCTGAATTATTTAATCAATCGGCACGTCCAACGGCTACGTCATTGGCGGTTTGCATTAATTGGACTGCTAACTTTATCGTTGGTTTGGCCTTCTTGCCATTAGCTGTAAGTATTTTTTTAAATAATAAACTTTCTATATATAATTATATGTTTATAAATTAATACTAACTTTAAAGATTTTAAATAGTTATTTGTTAAAAAACGTGATTTTTTTGGTAATTCAAATGGTAATTATATTTACCTAGTGTGTTGCTAAGTAGCGATCTAAATACCATCGTATTCAAGGTTAAATGTTAATTAAATAAAAATGAAATGCAATGCAATTGTTCCTTTAATCAATTTTTACTTGACAATAATTAAATTTACAGTTCATGAGTTTTACATTTTTTATATCTCCACTTTTATACATTTATTTATTTATTTTAAATTAGATAAAGTTTTTTTATCACTTTGTTTATTTGCTATAGTTTTATTTTTTACGTATCTACCTTATCATTAAAATTTTATTTTTTATATACAGGTTGATACACATAAGTACCGATACAGAACATTTAAGTGTTGAATACTCCATAAAGTTAAAAAAAAATTGATATTTCTGCAATCGTTTAACTTAAAAAATTTGTATTTGGTACATTATTTAGGCGCTTCATGAGTATTGATTTGAGGATAAGGACGAATTGAAACATTTTAAGGGATGGTTTGGGGTGACCCACCTTTATACAGAACTTTTTTGTCCATTGGCCGATTTTTAAAATCTTCATTTCATTTTTACTACTTTTATTTTTATAAAAAAACCTAATGTTCGAGAAAAAATTCAAGCAGTGCATTATGATCATGTTAATAGAAAAATCACCTGAAACTTTAGTTGGCCATGCATTTGGCAATTAAAGGACCCCGCATTTTCTGAAACTTTGTGCACTCAATCTAGTAACCAAAAGTGCCAATGGGCCCAACATTTTCTTTTGACTAGTTTTCGAGATAAAATTAAAAATTGACAGATTTCGGAATTTTTATTTTCAAACTTATGAGCTATATTGTATTTCTGATGCACACACATATTAACTAAATATTTTAATAATACATTATTACATACGTGGTGATTCACAAATGTATGACCATAGTTTTTTGTAGAATCGCACCAATTCTACTGTGACTTCACGGAAGCATATTTTCAAAATGTATTGTTGACTAAATATTGCACAGTACACATTTCTTGTACAGGGTGTTTTATAGAGAAAATCACAATTTGAAAATTTTTTTAAAAATTAATTCGTAACCTTGTACTTATGAATTGATTTTGAGGAAAGAAAATACCCCTAAAATGTGTGTACCTCTAAACTTTAAAATATACCTGGTAATTTATTTGTTGAAAGGTATTCTTTTTAAGAAAAGTATAAAAACCACGAATACTTTCCCAGCAAACACACATACGTACATAAGACGTACTATGTACGTACTGATGGGACGTAAAGTACGTACCGTGTACGTACTTTACTGTACGAAGTACGTACATAGTACGTACATAATACGTACATTTTCCAAACGACGGTACGTACCTAGTACGTACTCTGTACGTACCTAATGTACGTACTCTGTACGTACCTAATGTACGTACTGTGTACGTACTTAATGTACGTACTGTGTACGTACTTAATGTACATACTATGTACGTACTATGTTTGCACTTATTCCAATAGAGTACATATTCTAGACGTTCTTTTCATCCTTATTGGTACTTACTGATGATGTAAAATGTACATATTAGTACAATACAAAAAAAAAAGGAAACAAGTTAATTTGCATTTTTTTAATTTTTTACATTAAAAGAATAATTTAAATTGTTTTGCTATGTTTTTTTAAAGTTTTTAGACTATCATCAGCTTTCTTAGCCATCTCACAATTTCCTGTTCTGCAACCTTCTTCTCTTTGTATTTGCTACTTATAACAGCACCTTCTGCAAAGAAATAATAGCAAATTAGAAACTTAACTTGGGTACTTTTTATAATAAGTAATATAATAAAAACAACATAACAAAAAGACGTAGAGTAAAGTAAGCGATAGTTTCTACGGCTCAAAATTATCATTGTCAATATACTCCTGGATGTAAACCTCTCTAATTTGTATCCACCTCTTTTGGCTTTATGCCTTTGAAATCCAATTTGTTCCTGACACTGCTCTATAATATCGGAACTCCTTTATTTCTTTTTCTCCGCCAGATTTGAAGTCCAATGGTTGGAAGTACACAATTTCATTAGATACAAAAATAATTGTGACTGGATAGAGGGTTTTTAATGCAACAACTTTATGAAAACTGGCATGCAAAAATAAAAAATCAAAACATCTTACCCACTACAACTGCAGCCAATTATAATTTGTTGCCAGCTGATTATAGTTATTAAGGTAGCAGCCATACTCCTTTTGACAAAATCCAAAATTAAATTATTAGGGTCTGTAAAATATCACTTCTTTTGTCCTCCTGTTTATTCATTTCCTTAAACTTTTTCAATTGTTTTGTAGCATTTTTGTAATGTTTACTATGGGATGGTAGACATATCTATAAATTATATTCATTACACATAATTTTTTTAAATTAAAATGAAACCACTCACCAGAATAAAATGACAAAACTATGTACTTATAACACGCACTAAAAAGTAATTATAATACATTATACACAATTATTTATTTAAAGAAACACTTAATAGTTAAATTCTTAAACATAAAAAAACTAACAATAACAAACTGTTGAAACGTGGTTGCTTTAAAAAACGAGCGCGTTTAGTTTAGAGTTTATGTTAGGTTAAATAAAATGTGTTTCTTCTTTGCATTTTTTGTCTTTTTGGCCTACGGTCAACAGAAATTTGGTAAAAACTTAGGTTTTTCAATAAAATAGGTATGCAACCAGGATTACGTACACTTAGGTATGTACTTAGTACGTATTTTTCTGTACGTACTGGTACGTACTATTGTGTACGTACTTAAAACGTACATTTTACGTCCTGTACGTACTGTACCAAAACTGTACGTACTTAAGACGTACTGTGCTGTTTGGGTTGTATTCTAAAATTTCCAAGATCAATTTTTTCAGTCTACAATATTTTGAATCTGCATGTAGGTATCAAAAGTTTCTTACATCATTTTAAGGATCACAAAACTGCACAACTTTTGTTTAATTTAACCAATTTTCTATCTGTTACTGTTTAAGAAATAGCAATACTGTGTCTATGAAATAGTAGGGACCCTGTATATGCTACATAAAGTCAATCTAACTTTTTAGTTTAAAGAAAAAATAACAAAAATCAGCAATTCTCCACTTTAAGGCTTTGTTAAAAACTGATCATAGTATCGAATTTAAAATTCATACCTTTGTTAAAATTATTAAATAGCTTTACTTGTGTAAACATATTGGCCTTTTCTTTTTTTATAATTTTGAATTCATCTTTAAGCTTATTATATTTTTGCTCTCAGTTAACACTTTTAACAATACTGTTTTCACTTTCAATTGTGCTGCTTTTATTAATCCCTAAATGTGTGGAAATTTTAGTACATTCTTTTAAACATCATCCGCCCTATTTTTCATTTTTTTTTAAGATTCGACTTTCCCTTTATTTTTTTAACATATTATTTTCATTTGAATTAGAGTAGGGACTGTAGTTTTCTTTAATCGCTTCCTCACTGGCAAACTCAATCACCCAATAATTTATTAGAACAAGCTTGTTGTGGGATTCCATTTACGGTACCTCCGAATCTACTCTTGTTTTATTTCGGGTGAAACAAAATGTTTTCCCAATGGAAAATCATGATAAATTAAATCTGGGTTATCTAATTTTGTTTTCACACGGCTGCTGTTATAATTACTGACCACCATCTGTTTGGCACATTCAAAACCTAAAAAAATTACACTATAATTAGTTAAAAACTACCATTTTTGCCACTGTAGAACTTACCTATGATAAAACTAAGTTGATTTACCAAAATACTCTTTATAAAAAGTCCAGTCAATTAAAAAGTTACAAAAACAATCCAAAAAATAGTAAAAACCATGTACAAACGTATAAACCACACAGGAATTTGTAAATATCTGGTCCGGCAATGACGTAACACAGTGAAATATACATATTATATGAGATTGGCTCATCCTAATAGAGAAGTTAAGTATCATCCTTGGTTACATTACTAGGTTGAGTACAACAATATATCAAAATTTCAGAAAATTTGATTTTACAAAAGGAATGTGTGGGGTGCTTTGTATATTGTGACCCAAATAAAAAAAAAATCAAATTAAATCAAATACGTGGCCAACTAAAGTTTCCGTGTGATTTTTCTATTAACATTGTTATTATGACGTATTGAATTAATTTTTCCTCGTTTTTCTGGAAATACATTGGTTTTTTAAAAATAAAATTTCGCATAGAATGAAAATCCGATTGGCAAAATAAGTTTTATATGGTTATAAGTATGACTTGACCCCAAACCACCCTTTAAAATGTTTTAATTAATTCTTACTACAGTAAATTAAAACTCGTGAATCGCCTAAATAATATACCAAATATAGATTTTCAAAATTAAATCGTTGCGAAGATATTATATTTTTCGAAAAGTATGACCTCTATTTGGGCCTACATAACTTCTGAGAGGTACATCATATTTTGAAATGCTCAACACATACTTATTGTTGGTACTCATGGAAACATCCTGTATAATTTAACTTAATAACAATTTATTTTCTACTAAAACATTATCTAATTATTTTAAAAATTTAAATACATTTTTATTAAATATTCATTAAATATAATCGTTTTTTTTTTCTTCTAGGATTCAATGGGATCTTACGTATTCCTGATATTCTTCGTACTACAAGTATTGTTCCTATTATTCATTTATAAGAAGGTGCCGGAAACTAAAAACAAGACATTAGAAGAAATTTCGGCCATGTTCAGACAACAATCCTACCAGTAAACTACGAATAGGTACCAAACAAATATTATTATATACCTCTTTATGTATATACCTACGTGTATTTCATTATGACTGATAAAACAGTATATAAAAACTGTAAAAAAATAGGTTGGTACACACTTAGCAACTGCTGGAAGTATTTTTCTAATTATCTTGGTCGATGATTCGATCAAGATTGCTTAATATAGTTGAAAAGAGCAACATTATCCTATGACAAATGTTTGACAAGACTGCTTAACCGAAATAGTCATTCGTATAGTTAGGTTAGTTAATTTGTAGTTTATAAGTAGCAATTATTATCAAACAATAATAAATTTCAATTAATTAAGTCCAGTTTTTATTAAAATACATTTAAATGAAATAACTTAAATAGTTGCTATGGAGTGTTACCTATTTTTATGAAAAATCAGTTTAAAATTGAACGAATTGTTTTCTGAATATTTCAGATGCTCGAGAATTTTAACCAGACGTGTATGAGATGCGCAATCGTGTTACTTTCTCTAAAATACTCTAATACTTGTTTTACGAGCCCTAATAATTATTTGGCACTTGGGGAGTAAAGGGGTATATGTCCTCTAAATTAACAATTATATTACTTATATTCCTTTTCCCAGGGGTACAGAATGAATTTAGAAGTATCGTGGCAGATTTAACTCAATCTTGAATATTTTAGACTTATACCCCTTTAACCCCCAGTTTAGTTTTACACTATATTTTATGTTTTGGCATTATTTTTTATGGAAATAAGTCCTGAGATGCTTCCCATCAACATTTTCTCCTTAGAGGGATTCATTCGCTAAGAAGGTTTCAAATCCACGATATACACACCTGGTTAAAAAAGAGTTTGACAGCTTTTATATTAAATTATTTTATATATTTATTTTTGATACTGTACATTAAAGAGCAAGTTTACTAAATCGTATGGTTACACAAAAGACATCTAGGTAATTTATTCTTTAATTGTATATTATATATAATATTAAGTTTAATCAGAAGTACAAAAATAATTTACTTCTAAAGAAACAAAATATAATTTTCAAAGAATTCGAATGAATTTTTTTATAATAGACATATATTTTTAGTAAAATATGTACGAAAATGCTTACTATATACCCCAGTTTAACGAAATACCTCTGATAATACAATATAGCTATTTGTGTCTTCATGATAAATTAATATATGATAAAAACTACAACGTTCTTTTTGAAAAACAAAGACAATTAAATTATGTAAGTAGGTATTATGTTAGGTATTTTTGAGTCCATTGAATTTATTTGCAATGTCATTAAAAAACCGATGACTATGGAAATTTTGAATTTGCGATATTAGAAACTTGCTAATAAAAATATTCATTCTACGTTCTACGGTTAGTTAATTATCACAATTTTGCACAAATATTCATGAAAGCAATAACTAAATACAATGGTTAACCATTACCTATGCAACTTCTATTCTTGTAGGTATTTTTCTAAGATCTCAAATTCAATAAGTATTACTGGTTTTATTTGAATTTTAAAAATAAGGAAATACGTCTCTGCGACAATTTTAAGCCAACATATCATTTTTATTATTTATTTGTATATATTATAATTGTTTTTGTATATTGACATTATTTATTTAAAATAATACTCGATATTTGTTTTGAGAGAATGTATTTCCCAAAAAAAAAAACGAAAACAAGTGTAATGTATTATTTTTTTGTTTAACTATTTGTCCATAATATTTTTCATTTTGAACATATTTATTATAAAAAATAAGAGCATCTGTTGTACAGATCTGTATAATAAAGGACATTATGTTAGTTTTAAGGCTATTTATTATGAAGAATGAAGATGATTTTAATTTTAGTTAATTTAAATTTTGTAAATAGTTTTTCTCACTGTGTACGTTCTTTTTTGTAGTAATTAACAAAATTAATAGAAAAAATATTATTTACTGTGCTGGCCGTAGTAAAAGTATTCTTTCTGTGTTATATAGTGACAATTTGTATATTTTTGTTGTTTTTTTTTACGAAAAATTTAAGCAATTGTTTTACTAGTCGAAAAGTAGTAGGAGTTCAATAAAAAAAATGGCAAATAATACTTCTTGCTGTTTTGTAAATGTAGATTAGAGACTAGAAAAAAAATGACTGTATTTATTTGAATAAAATTTTTTATTACTTACATGTTTTTCATTATGTGAACTTTTTCCACAAAAATAATCATACAGGGTATACACACCTACTCCGATTAGGGACAATAGTACTTTTAATAATTACACAATTACTCATTATAACTATACAAACCTAGTTTTTCAAATATTTATTTGTCTAAATTACTCGTACATCTGGTAGATCCCCCACGAAACGATTTTTGTACCACTAATTTACGTTTAAGAGTTCAATGTAGCTGTAATAGACGAAGAACAAAGTAAACAGATAAATTACGAATAGATTTATTTGCACATTTTTTTTTACAGTGGAAAATTCACATTATTTAATGGATCAAACGACTTACTTGAAAGAAGTTCGATCCTAATTATGCTTCACATCTTTGTTATTGAAAATAAAAATCTGATGTGTCCAACACATGACTTTCCTATCTAGTTATTATAGGCTTTTTCCGGTTATTTTGTACAACCTATTGCAGCACCTCTATAAATGTTTAGAGGATAAACTAAATATACAGGGTGTTATTGAAATACACGTACATATTAAAATGGGGAATAGTATGTAATGACCAAAAACGATTGGCACCAATTTTAACTTCAAATTCTAAAATTTAAATATTGGGGAAGAGTCCCCTTTTCCGACCTACTAGTTTCCATATTTAAAGAAGTAAAATAAATCGAAATTGAACTTACCCATATAAATTGCAGTGTTGCCGTAGCAAAACCAATTAATTCAAAATAAAGTTTATTACAGTAATTGTTCAAAATGCCTTCCATTATTATTTACACACACTTGCAATCGTCTTTCCAAAGAACTTTGAACATTAGAAATTAGTCTTGGATTTTGTCGTAGTTCCTCGGCTACCGCATTAACTTTATTGGTTAATTGTTCAACACTATTAATAGGTTCATTATAAACCAGTTGTTTCATGTGACCCCACAAAAAGAAATCGCATGGATTTAAGTCCGGAGATCTCGGAGGCCACTTAGTAGGTCCATTTCTGCCTATCCACTTTTGAGGAAATCTAATGTTCAAAAACTGCCGTACGTTTAAATCAAAGTGAGGAGGAGCGCCATCTAGTAGGTACCACATCCGTTGCCTTAATTGTAACGGTATCTCTTCTAGGAGTACTGGCAAAATATCTTCTAAAAAGTGGAGATATCCTGGCCCATTTAATCTGTTCGGGAGAACATAAGGCCCGATTAAATACTGATCTATTATGCCAGCCCAAACATTTATTGAAAATTTTCTTTGATGCCCAGTTTCCCTAATGGCGTGAAGATTTTCATCACTCCAAATATGCGTATTGTGCATATTGAATACGCCATCACGAGTGAATGAAGCCTCGTCAGTATACAATAATATTTTTAGAAAATCAGAAATATCAACACATTTTTGAATCATCCATTCACAAAACTCCACTCTCTTTTCTTCATCACCTGGATATAAGGCCTGGACTTTTTGGATGTGATAAGGATGTAAACCTTGTTCTTTAAGTGTCCGCCACACAACAAATGAGGACACTCCAATTTCAAGACCTAGTCTTCTACAACTTAATTGAGGCCGGTTTTCAACAGCTTCCAATATTTCTTCTTCGGCCGCCAATGTTCTTTGTGTTCTTGTTTTCCCTCGATCTGCATTGACACTCTCAAATTTTGCATGGTCTCTTAGATGCTGAACAGTTGAAATAAACGTACGACAGTCCGGAATTCTCCGATTTGGAAACCGTTCGCGATACAGGATTTGTGCTTGCCGAGAATTTTCTCCAGCTGCCCCATAAACCAGCACTATATCCGTTAGTTCAATATTCGTAAATAGTGGCATCGTAAAAAAATATTTAAAAGTAATCGTAACAACACATTTTACCAACTTGGAAATGACGCGCTCGTGTTAGCCAGATTCGTAAATCAACTAAAATTTTAATAATCTATAGTTTCAAAAATGTATAGTTTAAAAACAATCATTTATCAAATATTCTAGTTTTTTGATAACGAGGGTAGTAAAAACCAGTCTTCGGAAATAGAAATTAATTCGAAAATCTTGGCAACATGGTTATTTCTTACAAGACTAGTTTTCTTATCATCTGACAAAAACTTGCATATTAATTACTGTTGATGTTTAAAATAGGTAAATAAACCTAATTTATATAGGTCATCCTCAACATATCAGTGAAGTACGTTTGTTTTAGAATTAATTTTCAAAAATTAATAACTCCCTTAATAAGGGGTATTTTTAAAAAATAATATTTTTCTACATTCAGTGGGGATCTGCGCAATACCCAGTTTTAATATGTACGTGTATTTCAATAACACCCTGTATACTTTTTCCACATACATCTACATTGAAACATTTTTCTATAATATATATTCCATAAAATATAAAAACGGCCTCCCATAAAGTAACCCCCTCCACCCAGATGTTCCGACTTTGTCCAAAATTTAATCATTTCACCTCAAGCCGAAATAAAACTTAAGTTTAAAATTAAATGTTTCTTCTTTATCCGTTTTTGAGTTTTATTCGAAATTTACACATTTTCTCAAATATCTTGAATACGGTCCATTTTAGAGAAACTATGTATGGGATAAAATTTATAGAGAATTATATTACAAATAACTTTTATTTGAACAATTTTTATAAAAAATTATTTTTTTTACATTTTGTCAAATTTCTCGAATACGGACCATTTTAGGAAAATTTTATATAGAACAAAAATTATAGATAATAATATTGTAAGTAATATTTATTTGAAGAATTTTCTTCTCCAAACGTTAATAACAAATATATTCCATAAAATATAAAAATGACCACCAATAAATTACCCCCCAAATGATTTGACTCTGTCCAAAATCTA